AACCTGTTTGAAGACAAATCTATGCCTTCGATTCTCACTCCTATCTGAACAATAAATTACTATTCTGTATTTATTACACACGCTTCTGTTCGTTGATGGACGACATGAAGGGGGCTAAATTGGAATGCATTGTAGAAAAACTTTCAGATCATAACTGAATATTTAAGCAGCTTTTCCTATTTCACTGACACAGTAAGAAAAGCACTCACCTTTGCCATTATGCCCTTTAGGCTCAATTTTTACCTGAACAAAATCACCCAAACCTACATAGATGGAATCTCACACTCACACAAATAATGTCACTGAAATGCATTTTTCACCGATTTTCTCCTTCTGTGCCTATTTTATGTACCGATGTATAGTGGACACAGTATTTCCAGAGATTATTTTCCAGCCAGAAAATTAATTGTGAATCATAAAAGGGCAAAAAAAACCCAAAAATCACTGCTCCAAACAAAGAAAATTACCTGCTGGTTTCATACAAATCAGGGCTGGCACTGGAAGCACAGGATGCTGGCTTTTCTGTGCAGCATCCATTTAAGCTGGCATCTGATGACAGTGAGCACGCTGCCAATATCAGCCGCATGCCAACCCTATCACTAGTCGGACTGGCAGCACTGAAATAAAACAAAGACCAGATTACCGGCCTTGAAAATATCAAGAGGGAGGAACTGCTGCTTAAGAGGTATTTAAATAATCTTCCTACGTTGCTTAACAAGATTACCTCTAAAAGCCCCCTGGGAAACCAACTCCTTCCTCCCTGCTGTTTCGTACCCTCCTGGTTAGAAGGCTTTGCATGGAACTCTTAGCGTACCTCTCCACCAAGTATGGAAGTTAAGCCACACCTGAGTGGCTTGCCACTGTGAATGAGGTGGTTGTCTGCTGAAATCCACACTGAGAGATTACAGTTCAGTACTCCTCCCTCCAGGCCCAACAGGAGAAACTGAGCTGTCTCTACACATTCAGGGCTGAGTTTGTGTCCTTCCTATTGACCTAACGTTTTACTTTCATGAGTATGTACATCTACCCAGTAAACCTAGGAAGCAAGCTAAGGACTCTTTTTCCCACTCATACATATATGAGAAAAAGGGGTGGGGACTGCAAGGAGCCAGGTTTTCTGGTGAGTTCTCTTCCCACGTAGCACCCATTACCGCCTCAAAAGCTCACATTGGGCACTTTTGAAGGCTTCTTTCCTTAAAGCTGTGAACGTGATCAATTTATACAATGTCTCAATGGCTAGGATGTGAGATACTCATACATTCAAGTCCCATTCACCACTGGGATGCATGGCACTTACTACTTCAAGCTGCAAATATCAACTAGATGAGCTGCTGGTGGATCCCCCTCCATGCTGGCAGAGAACTCTTCCCCCTTCACCACCTGCCTCCGACGAGCAGCAGCGTGAAGTCTAGACTACCTCTCCACATCCTGCTAACTCGATTCAGCAGTTTAGGCCCGTAATACATACTCTTTTCAATGCCTACCATTCTTCTCAATGACTTCCCAGAAAGAATTTTAGACAACAGAGAATCTAGGCCATTATGGAAATAGCTGTATTACCTAAAAGTTTCCTCTCCTAAAGAATAACTTAAGTTTCTCAACATGTTCTACAGAACGCTGTAAAGGATTACTTTTAGGATGACAATGCATAGCTATTAAGAGCGAGTATGGAGAAGTTCAGGTCATTTTCTAGATATGTAGCCTATAAAATTTAATTTATTAGATTGAACACCTCCCTAAAAAACATAGGACATAGATTTTTCAAGTGCAGAAATAAAGATCAATTCTACTGTAGATTCTACTGTAGAATATTGAATTTCTAAGTTTAATGTTAATCCTAAATAGCTTAGAAACATTGTTTATCTTCAATTATTGTAATATTCTCATTCAATTAAAAAAATTAGGTGCTGTAATTCAGACTTTTAATTAAGTGAATTAGCTTTTGACATTTTCTTGGAAAAAGATGTTCCCAATGTGCCTTTTCCCCTTTATTTGCAGTTAAACATTCCTTAGTACTTTTAAAATACTTTGGTAAGAAATACGCAGCTTATAGCTAGGTGCCAGCTTTGTTCAGACTTTGGGGGAGGGCGGCCGCTAACCTCAGGCTTTGCAGCAAGAGGTGGAAACTTGCACTGAATCTGAATGACTTTTTTATAGTGAAAGATGCAAATACTACAAAATACCTGTGGTGATTCTTGAGACAAACTCTACTGATATTCCTATACCTCTACTGTTTTGTTTACTGAGGCAGCACAGACCCTGGCCACATCTAAGTATGTCTTGACTCTGCTTTCGTGCCTCACCTGTAGATGTTCTGTTGCCACATTCCTGTTGCTCCAAGTTGTCAGAGGAAAGGTTAACTGTGCCGCGGAACAAAGAACTCTTTACATTTGGTCTCAAGTTAGATGAAGAAGCCCTGTGAACTGAGGATTAACTACAGGAGAAGCACCATCCTTGCCGCACGTGTTATATGTCTCATATCACACTATTTCTAATAATTGTTAGAGTACAATCAGCTGCCATCAATGGTGCAGAGATCATTGACAATCTCTTCCCACTGCCTCTGTTATTCAAGAGTTTGTTTTCATGGTGGAGATAATGACTCTCATCCTTGCAGCTAATCAAATGTAAGACTTTATATTTTAGCAAAAAAAAAAAAAAAAAAAAATCATAATGTAGCTTTTTTTCTTTTGTAGTAAGTATCTAGTCTGGTATTCCTCTAATTAAGAAGTCAGACTTTTAAAATGTTCTCTATTTGTTGCCTAGGTACAAAAGCATCAACACAATTAAGATGGTTAGCGAGGTGAGGCCTTGAAATCAACATCTCCGCCTCCTTGCATAAACCCTTCAATGAGACTCCCCTTCCACTTGGGCAACTTGATGTGGTTCAAGAGCACGGAGAATTGATCTTTTAAGACTCATAAAATATTTGCTTCTTCAAAAAGAATAAAGGAACTAAAACAAGTGATTGTGGTATATGTGTATTTGTGCCTATTTGAAATCAAGTTCTTTGATATACAATACCGATCCTATCATCAGGGAAAAGAAAAAAAAAAAACATTTTAAAGAACTCTTTAAAAAAAGGTTCCACTTCATTTCATAAAACCTGAAAACTGTAGACATATATCTAGTTATTCATCTTTGAAGTCACCTGCTCCGTCAAACATTCTTAGCTGTATATCTGGGGTTTCAAATGTTTGCTTTTGTAATAAAACAATTCTAACCTTATGAGACTGTCAACTCTACAGAATAAGATCAGCTAACTAAAAGCTTTTGCTTTGGTTTTTCAACAAAGCAATAGAAAAAAATGAAAAGGAAGATGAGGACAAGAATAACATGGTATTCAAACAACTTGAATGAATATGGGAAAAGAAAATTGCACCACTGAAGCCACTAAATAATGGTCTGTGATCTTATCAATTTTCATAAATTAAGCAGGTTGAAACTGGCCAGTGTTTAGCTAGCAAATTTTAGTAACTAAAAAGAGACTGATGAAAAGCAAATACAGTCAACTTGATTTTATCTGTGGGCAGATTTACCAACTTGTGGGTTAGCAGTGCCATCTGATCTTTTACCCACCGTCAGCTTTTGTGTGGTTCTGAAATCCCAGGCCACCTGGGGCTACTAGAAAACCCTACCTCTGTCCCCACACTGGGCAACACTGGCTATTCATACCAACTGAAAACCACAGGACCAGTCACCACAGTGAAAAGAATGAAGTCATTTTCCCCAATTCATCATCAAGGACATGATTCCCTGCATCTTAACAGATGACGCTCCTCTTTTTAAAAATGCCATTGCTCACACACTTAGTGTCAGGCGTTTCGCCGAGGACATAGGCATGCAGGGACCTTGTCCTACTGACCTTCACTTTATCGCACTTCACAGACACTGCATTTTTACAAATAGAAGTTTTGTGGCAGTCCGGCGTCCATCACGTCTATTGGTGCCATTTTTCCAAAGGGATGTGCTCGCTTTGTTCTTCTGAGTCACATTTTGGTAATTCTCACAATACTTTGGACTTTTTCATTATTATGATATCTGGCACAGTGATCTGTGATCAGTGTTCTTGGATGTTCCTATTGTAATCATTTTGGAGTACCATGAACCACACCCATATAAGACAGTAAACTTCATTAATAAATGTGTGTGTTCTGACTGCTCCAACAACCGGCTGTTCTTGTCTCCTCCTCCCATCTCCTCAGGCCTCCTTGTTCCCTGAGAAAAAATCATATTGAAACTAGAGAATTAATAGCCCTACAATGACCTCTAAGTGTTCAGGTGGAAGAAAGGGTTGTACATCTCTCACTTTAAATCGAAAGCTAGGTACAGTTAAGCTTACTGAGGAAAATATATCAAAAGCCAGGTGGAATGAAAGCCGGCCCTCTTGTGCCAAACAGTTAGCCAGGTTGCGAATGCAAAGAAAAAGTTCTTGAAGGAAATTAAAAGTGTCATGCCAGGGAGCACATGAATGATAAGAAAGTGAAACAGCATGATTGCTGATATGAAGACAGTTTGAGTGATCTAGATAAAAGATCATATCAGCCAACATTCCCTTAAGCCAAAGCCCAGTCCAGAGCAAGGCTCTAACCTTCTTCAATTCTAAGCAGGCTTAGAAAGAAGAAGCAGCTGCAGGAAAAAAGTTTGAAGCTGGCAGAGGTAGGTTAATAGGCTCTAAGAAAAGAAGCCAGCCGGGCATGGTGGCTCACACCTATAATCCCAGTGCTTTGGGAGGCCAAGGTGAGTGGCTCACCTGAGGTCAGGAGTTCAAGACCAGCCTGATCAACACAGTAATACCCTATCTCTACTAAAAATACAAAAAAAAAAAAAAAAAAAAAAAAAAAAAAAAAACAAAAATTAGCTGGGTGTGGTGGCAGATGCCTGTAATCCCAGCTACTTGGGAGTCTGAGGCAGGAGAATCACTTGAACCTAGGAGGCAGAGGTTGCAGTGAGCCGAGACTGAGCCACTGTACTCCAGCCTGGGCAACAAGAGTGCAACTCCATCTCAAGAAAGAAAAGAGGCCATCTCCACAACATATAACTGCAAGGTAAAGCAGCCAAATGCCAAGGTAGAAGCTACAGCAAGTTATCCAAATCCAGCTAAGATCACTGATGAAGGTGGCCACCCTAAACAACAGATTTTCAATGTAGATGAAATAGCCTAATATTGGAAGAAAATGCCATCTAGCACTGTCGTAGCTGGAGAGCAGAAATCAGTGCCTGGCTTCAAAGTTTCAAAGGACAGGCTGACCCTCTTGTTGGGAGCTAACACAGCCGGTGACTTGAAGTTAAAGCCAACACTCACTGAACATGTCAAAAATCTTAGGACCCTTTAGAATTACGCTAAATCTACTCCCCGTGTGCTCTAGAAGTGAAACAACAAAGCCTGGATGACAGCATATCTGTTTACAGTATGTTTTACTGAATATTTTAAGCCTACTGTTGAGACATACTGCTATGAAACAGATTTCTTTTAAAATATCACTGCTCATTGACAATGCACCTAGTCACCCAAGAGCTCTGATGGAGATGTACATGGAGATTAATGTTGTTTTCATACCTGCTAAGAAAACATCCTTTCTGCGGCCCAGAGATCAAGGAATAATTTCACCTTTCAAGTCTTCCTATTTAAGAAACATGTTTCATAAGACGTTAGCTGCCATAGATAGTGATTCCTCTGATGGAGCTGGGCAAAGTATATTGAAAGCCTTCTGGAAAGGATTCACCTTTCTAGATGTTCTTAAGAATATTCATGATTTATGGGAGAAGGTGAAAATATCAACATTAACAGGATTTTGAGAGTTTATTCCAACTCATGGATGCCTTTCAGGAGTTCAAGACTGCAGTGGAGCAAGTCACTGCCGATGTGGTACAAATAGCAAGAAAAGTAGAAGCAGAAGTGAAGCCTGAAGATGCAATTAAACTGCTGTAATCTCATGATCAAATATAAATGGATGAGATGTTGCTCCTTATGGATGTGCAAAGAAAGGGATTTCTTGAGATAGAATCTACTCCTGGTCAAAATGCTGTAGACATTGTTGAAATGACAACCAAGAATTTCTATTACACAAGTGTATAATAGTTAATAAAGCAACAGCAGGATTTGAGAGGACTGACTCCAATTTCGAAAGAAGTTCTATGTGCCTAAAATGCTATCAACCAGTATCGTACACTAAGATAAATTTTTTTGTGAAATGAAGAGTCAATGTATGCAGCAAACTTTGTTATTTTCTTACTTTAAGAAACTGCCACAGCCACCCCAACCTTCAACACACACCACATCAATCAGTCAGCAGTCATCACATTGAAGCAAGACCCTCCACCAGCCAAAAGATTATGACTTATTGAAGACTTAGATGATTATTAGCATTGTTTAGCAATATTGTTTAGTTAAGGTATATACATTGGGTTTTTTAGACATCATGCTATTGCACACTTATTGGACTCCTGTATAGTATAAACAAACTTTTCCACACACTAGGAAACCAAAAAAAGTTGTGTGACTCATTTTATTGCAATATTCCCTTTATTGCAGTGGTCTTGAACTGAACCCACAGTACCTCCAAGATTTGCCTCTATTATCTCATTTAATTCTCACAACAACACTATAAGGAAGAAACTAATATAATTTTCATTTTGGAGTGGGAGAAAGTAATCTCAAGTAAATTAAAGTTACACAAATAATGGATAGAAAAGGTACAGTTTGAATCTGTATTTCCCATACTCCAATAAACATTTGTAATTTTGGTCTATCCAGGACTTATTTGCCTTTTCTTCTGGTATCCCCACTTTCTGTGGAAAATTATATCTTCCGCCTTCCACATGATAGAGCCAGTGGTCCCAGAGGTGTCTTGTAACCCAAGCTGCAAGAGCCGTGTTCTCCTGGGAATTTGAATGCTGAGCAAAGACCATGGGGTAAGGAAGAAGCTGGAGCTTTGTCATCCAGTGGTAGCATCAACAGAGCCAAAGAACCCCTGTGGTGAGATTTCCAAGCTGCTCTGGCTGGCTTCCCATGGCCTGGTTGGTCAGTCCTTCCTTTGACTCCAAGAGTCACACAACATCTTTCCACTAGATGCTCTTTCTGGTGTTATTCAGAGGAAAGGATAACTCCTGAAGGCTTTGCTGTAATGCTGCCTCATATTATGCATACGAGGTACCTGGTACCCAGCAATAAGGAAGAAGTGGTCCAGTTCCTCAAGGAATTCAAAATCTAGGAGAGACACACATATATGTGTTTAGCCAAAGCTCCCTCAGAAGCATTAAAATATAGTATCATAACATACATAAGTGAACAACTCAGGAAATTTCAGAAATATTGTAACACACATGAGTGAACAACCCAAGAAATTTCAGAAATAACTCAGCAAATTTCAGAACTATCATAACATACATGAGTGAATAACTCAGGAAATTTCAGAAAGTTGGTGACTCATAGATCCAATCATTTTGTTCTCTGTGATTCTTGAGAATCACAGAGATTCTGGCTATAAGACCTTATCTCTTTGGAGAAGCAACCAAATGTACTCACTGACTTATTTATATTTTCATTCTTCCGATAGTCATGTATTGAGCAACTATTGTATTTAAGTACCCTATAAACTGGCATTGAAAAATAAATTAATAAAGAAACAACTCAACAAACCTGTTAACTGGTCTCAAAGAAAGGCATGTGTGTATCAAATACTTCCAATGGTGTCTTCCATGTCTGGCTTCTTCATCTAAGAAAGCTTGCCCTACAGAGGAGAGAGGGCAGATTCCACAAGTCAGGCACACCTGAGTTTCAGTGCGGCACTGACATCAGCTCTGAGTATTTGGACAAGCAACTTAAAATCTCTCTCTCAGGTTCCACATTTGTAAAGTGGACATCATAATTCTTGCCTCATGTACTTGCGGGAAGAATCACTGAGAAAACCATGTAGGTTAGCAAAGCTCTCGCTGAGCTGGAAGCAAGGAGTTGGCAGGGCTGCATTCCTTTCTGGAGGGCCGGGGGAAGAATTTGTTTTCCCACCTGTCGTGTTTGCGGATCCTTGCTTCAAGGCCCCTTCCATCCTTAGGGCAGCATGGCCAGTCGCATCTTCCCATCTCCTTATTGTGATTCTTGGCTCCATTGGTGCTACCACCAGATGACTAAGCTCCAGCCTCCTTCTGCTTCTTTCTTCCTACTCCCTCGTTCACTGATAAGGACCTTGCAGTTACATTGGGCCCACTTGAATAATCTAAGATATGCTAGGATAAGATTATCCTCCTGATCAGCCCATTAACATGCTTAATTTCATCTACAGTCTACACGTCCCCTGGCCCTGTAACCTGACATATTTACACATTCCAGGAAGCACAGCCTGAGCATCTTTGGGGAGTATTCTAACTACCCCAGTTACAAAAAGTAGAAGCTATCAATAAGCCAGAGCATACTGCAAGAACGATATTCCCCACCACAAGATCACCTGTTGATGAGTTATCGATACCTGAGAAGTCTTCTGAGGCATTTGATTGTACGCAGGCCTGTGTACACACACACACACACACACACACACACACACACACGTGTGGACATTGCACTCTAAGTAAATTACAGACTCTAGAAAGCTACTAGAACCTATTTCCTACGACATTACTTAATTTGCATTTCCATTTCCATTTTGAAAGCCTATTCTTTCTCTGTGCACATATGAAATTAGAATCATACAACTTGTCTTCTCTTTTTTTATTCATCACTTTTGCCTAATCCACTTTCTTGCCTCTTAGATATCTACCAGAACTAGAGTTATCATACTCCACCATTCCCTAAGATACACTGGGAAATCAATGAAGTGACTAATACCAGAAACAAAAATATTTCTTTAAAATGAGCTTGACAGTTTGCCTGTGTACTGATAAGAGCGCTTAGGAAATTAATTAACAGGACGTTTTCTTAACTCTCAAATTGCAGGTTGCAATAGAAAACAGTGAGTGATCTTCAGAATACTGTGCTTAATAGGAATGTAGTGCATGAGAGAGATACATAAGGGAAACAGAAGCCACCAGAACACCCCTCTTTCATCCTTTTAAGTTACACTTTAAAATCATGATATTGCTAGGTATAATTCATGCCAGAGCTTTGCAAGAAAAATAAAGCTCCTCCCTGAAAATTATAGCAGGTCTATAATTAATTTGTCCTTGAAATGAAAATTACTTCTCCACATTTAAGAAAAATATAAAGTTCCAAACTTTTTGGTTAAAAATTGCAATCAAGTTCTTACTTCCACAATAAGACTGTATATGGTATGAATGCATCTGCAGGTTAACAAGAAAAGAAAGCCATTAGAATACATTCATCTCAATTTCTATTTCAATGTTTTTCTCAACTGTTTTGTCATTATCGCCACTCCCCCTCCCCAAGGAGCCATTTCAGATATTTTTTTCCTAATCATTTTCCACCATGAAATGTTAATGCCACAGATATGCTGTGTATTTATTTACTGTATGTATATCTGTGCTTTCTACATCAACAGACGATTTTCCCCTCCCAAGAACTGATACTATCTTGTTGAGAATGTGCGCTGATTTGATGCCTATCTATACTCATTAGCTAATTACCCCCCAACACACACACACATGTGTTTATTGAGCCCTTACTATGTGCCAGGCACACAATAGTGAACAAAGACCTCATTCTCATTTTAGTAAGACACACACAGAGCAAGCAAACCAATAAAAACATAACACATCCCGGTATTGATTTTAAGAAAAAAAAACATAAAGTGCATGAAAATGTTTCTGTGGACAGACTCTTTTATATTTTAAAAAAACCACAGTATGTTGCCTGCAGCACTCTTTTGCTATAAAGCCTAAGGAAACTGTGGATTCTTGAAAGTGGCAGGAGAAACTGAAAGGAACAGTGGAGTTCCTCAGAGCCGCCTCATTTCACCACAGCGCTGTGTTTGCAATGTTGCGATCTACACAGTGCACTGCTGCGATGGATTTTGTCTCAGGGTCAGAGAGCCCCTCCTCCAGGCTCTCTCAAGGGAAGCCTAGAAACCTGGAGGAAAGATAGTTAACGCTCAGGACAGGGGAGATAAACAAGGTTCAATCTGGTGAAACTGGTCAGATTCCACTTCTTTCAGTTCCAAGTATTAGCAATGAAATCTATAATCTAGAATTCCTTCTGAAAATATTTGGGAACGGTCACGTACACAGCCTGATGCAAAGAATAAGCGTACTTATTGAACTGCCCCTGCCGTGTTCCAATGGTTCTGTAATTATAAAATAGAATGTATGTTCCCCTAATAAAGTGCAGAATGTTGAGAGAAGTAGAAAAAATGAGTGACTCAGAGTCTCATTCCCCTAACAGAAGCCAATTTAACATTTCATTTGAAGCCTGGGAGAGAGGAAGACATCAGGAAACAGAAAGCAGGAGGTAGGGAGGGTAGGGAGGATCCAGAAGTCATGGAGGCCGAGCAGCCACAGATTTGCTGGCAGCGCTGGGGGGGAAAGGAAGGCGGTCAGGGTCCCTTAGTGGGTCTGAGTCATGAGCCTGGCAGGACACTGATGGTCACTGGGTCACTACATCAGCTGAGATTTTTTTCTGTCTTTGTGACATTAAACACCCATTAACAGAGATATCCTGGCTCTGTCTCTCTTTCTTAGACGTGAAAGTGATTGTTCAGCCTGATTTGTCAAATACTTCAACTTCCAAATGAACCCCATTTCATTCAATAATTTGACTCAAGATATTCAACGTAAGTTCTGGTGATTTTCCTTCATCACATGTCCCTCTGTCTTTCTTGAGAATAACTTACTTTCTTTGACATGGCCAAGTACTACCCGCAGGACCATTCTCCCTATCTTGGAGTGTGGCCAGCTGGTTGGGTTGACCAGTGAGCCAAGTAGGAGAGCCAGGACTAGGTCTAAATGGAAAGGCCTAGAAATGAGACGACTTGACCTAAGGCTACTGGGCATGCCACAAAGGTCCATAGAGTCCAGCCCAGACAAAGCTAGAAGGGTGATCTGCTGCAGTTTAGCTGGAAGGAGGCACAGAGCTGAAGCCAAATGACAAAGAGGCAGCCTAGGGGGCTTCCTTAGAGCCTGGACTCTGGTTCCCTGCCACGGGATGAATGCAGCTTCTCCTGCTTACTGGCTGCAGGAATCTGGACCACTTACCTGACTTTTATGTGCCTCACTTTTCTCTTTTATATGTGAATAATTGTGGTGTTTATCTAGTGGTGTTGCTAAGTAATAAATAATATTGATTAATCTTTAGTAAAATACTTGGAACGATGCCTGGTACGTAATAAATACCATGCATAAGTGTATATTAAATGAAGTAAGTGATTAAATCAGATGAGCAAAAGTCTGAAAGAATGATCTCTAGGGCAACGGAGCCCCAGAGAATGCGCCTCTTATGGCAAATCCCCTGGTTAAATTCTTGGGTGGAAAATAACTGTTAAGAGGACCTGGGCAGGTCAGATTTGAGCAGATATGTAAAATCAAACAAACAGAAAAGTGTGTACAAATTGGGAGCTTATTTTAGAGACCACATGCTCGTTGTAATTTCCGTCATGGAGTGGAAGGCACACTATGTTAACAGGGACACTGTGAATATGTTATGTTCAATATAGTGTCCCTATTAACGTATGTCTCTTCCACCCCATGATGAAAATTACAATTACAGTGGCACCATGTGAATTTAACATCGTGTCAGTGTATTTAATCCAGTTCGCCAGGTGATCAGCTTCTTGGAATATGGCCATTGTCAGTGGAGCCCGTCACTAACGCTTCTGAGAGTAGTTGACCTGCCAACGAATGTTCCTACTGTGGTGTTAGAGCAATCATTTTTACTAATAACAATAACTGCAGCAATAAAACACTCCATCACATCCAGGCGTGGTGGCTCAGGCCAGTAATCCCAGTACTTTGGAAGGCTGAGGCAGGAGGATTGCTTGAGGCCAGGAATTTATGATTGATTGAGGCCTGGGCAACATAGCAAGACCCCATTTGTATTTTTTTTTTTTTAAATCTCCACCTCACTGTGCACATTAGTGCACGTAGTGAGCAAAACCCACATCTTATAGGTCTGTTTCTCTCATCCGTGCTATTGTGAGAGAGAGAAAGATTTTCATTCATGGTTCCTCACTGTCATGGGCCCAACGCTCAGGCTGTGTCCTGAGAAATGATGTTGGTGGAGCACCTCTCTCACCAGGGATCTGCAGTCTATTCAGGGACCCCAGTTTGCCTCCACAGAGACTTTTCTTTAGTGGCTCTGAGATTACATATAAATCCTTTTTTTTCCTCATTTTATCCATTTTCCTTCTTTACCATATGTTTTCTGTTACTATGTCCCTATAGAAAATGGATTTACTATATTCTAGGCACCATGGTAGTTTTGCATGCATTAGTAATGTGCAAGACAGACATGCCCCTGCCTGCATGAAATATATACCCTACATGCTTAGAGGTGCACTAGTGAAGGTTTTCCAGAGAATAGGAAGCAATAGGATGGAGAGAGTGAGTGAGAGAAATAGATATTAAGAAATTGACTTATACGATTCTGGAGACTGGTAAGTCTACAATCTGTAGGGTAAGTTGGCAGGCTGAAGACCCAGAGAAGAGTTGATGTTGATGTTGCCGTTGGAGTTTCAAAACAATCTGGAGACAGAATTCCCTCTTCCTCAGGGGAGGCCAGCCTATTTTGTTTGAAGACATTCAGCAGATTGGATGAGGCACACACACATACACATTGGGGAGGGTAAGCTGC